AGTGGAGACAGATTTCTAAGGTTTTAGTTTTTTGCCTAAAGAACTTAATTTCAAGATGGTAGACATTAGATACGATGTAGACACTTGTTGGCAGCAGATGCATCTTGGCTTGTTCAAATACACTGTATGGCCTGTAGATTGGAATTTGCCATGATGGATACCTTTAAGGCACCATACACAAATACAGTAGTAGACATCCATCTACCTATTCTACAACAAACTTTCAAATATGCTTAAAGATATAAATATGGTGGTAGGAATAATAGAAGATAATTTTTCTAAGTCCAGTAGGGACAATAATAACTGGCTATGCATAAGTAAGCATATAGAAATTTTTTCTGAAGCCATTGAGTATCCTGGTAAAGATATAGTGTCTTGACTACTTAGAACACAAAATATTTAATTTTTTATGTTTTTACTTCAGGATGTTTTGATGAAATCAGCAAAGGTTCCTTGTTATTTCCACAAAGTGATGTCACTATGTCCAGTGCCTTGACTGAAGTAAAAATTGCACATACTGTGTTTCTTTCGTGCAAGATTTTCTTGATGGAAAGTAAGCTTTACTATACATGGTAGAATGGAAAACTGAAGGAACGCTCACAAAGTAATGTAAAACTAAAACAGGTCTGACATACAACAAAAACAGATTGTTGTTAGTCATAATAATGCCTTGAACAAGCTGGGATGAATTTTACAACAAACTTTTTAGATCAAAAGTATTGATCTGACCAGAATCTTCATCTTTATAATATATAACAAGTTCAACTGCTCATTTCAGCACAATTTTATAGAAGTTTGGCTATGACATCCGATCGTAGGTGAGTGGGCTGATGTGAAGATATATATGAGGCAGACTGGCTATATATATTCTCTGTCATCATCCACTGTCAATGTAGCAGCATATAAACCAGGATAGTGTTGATAGAGGAGACTTTATGAACATTCCGAAAATGTTCTTGCAACATTTACTCCATATCTACTGTATGCTCTGAAATGGACTACAGCACCATGAAAATAATACAAGTTGATTGGGGCTGCAGCCTAGACACAAATACCACTGACGAGCTTATGAAGCTTACCATCAGCACATCTGAAGAACAATAAAAGTAGAAACCCCCAAAAGTAGTCAACAGATGGCAGTTATCTGGTCAATAACTCTGCAGATGAGTCTGTCACCCTCACTGAAATAAATATATTAAAACAGGGAAGAGAGAGAATTTTGTTGTAAATAAAGGATAATGTTGATATCTTTAAAACAGTTGCCTTTTTTAATTTTGTCAGCATGCCAGTGGTCACAAAAGTTAACTTCATACTCTGGAAAAAGTGAAAACGTGAATTCATCCTTTATTTTTGAGGAAATTATTGATTCCCCTGTAGTGCTGGCTTCCACTACTACTGTTGGCAATGGCTATTTATTCCATAAGCCAAAACCCTCTTAGAAAAATAAAGCTGTATTAATTGGAGCCTAGCCTGTATTTTCCAAATATTAAACTTGGGTTCTCTCATCCTATTGTCTTCACAGTACAGTACCATAAAATAGAGGCCTTTAGAGTTTATCCTATCAGTCTCCTGAATCATTCTGTAAATTTTAATAAAATCATATCTTAGCCTTCTTTTCTCAAGAGAAAATATGTTAACCTAGCCCGGCGGGATAGCCCTTTTATCATTGGAACCACCATAATAATCCTCCTCTGAATCATTTCCAATAAGTCAATATCCTTTCTTAAATATGTTTTTTTTGTTTGTTAAGTTAAGCACAAAGCTACACAATGGACTATCTGTGCTCTGCCCACAACGGGTATCGAAACCCGATTTCTAGCATTGTAAGTCCGCAACATACCGCTGTGTCACCGGGAGGCATTAAATTTGGAGACATCACAGATGAACCTTTAGTACACTGGCTCAACTGATAGTCAGAAGTTGAAAGTCAAATGAAGACAAGGATACCATCTCATGTTACGTTGATTCACCTGAAGAGGATGAAACAGCTGAAAGTATTTATCTGGCTATCTATGATGTGACCAATAGGTGTTAACAACCCTTAATTTCTGGGCTGTCGAGCAGAGTTTAACTATGGAAGATACCTATCAGATATTGGAGGATAGCTGTTCAATCATCACAATTAGGACATTAGTGTTAGTAGATACAGTGTCTAATATATCTTGTATTTGTAAAATTGAAGCTGATAGCTAGGATTTTGTAAACTCAACTAAAAGACGATTTCAGAGCTATCAGGTGATACTTCTTGGTGTGATGCAAGCAATACATTTTATGCTTGCCACTGGGTTACTTTATAAACTCTAACGACAGAAGCATAGTAAATTAATAGCTTGCACAATTGAATATGATCACTAGAAGTTTGAAATATCAGCTGAAAGAACAGTATGCCTGTTGCTTTCTAAGCTAAAGAGGGGATTTTCGGAAGTAAAATGTCATCCAAGATTTCGACAGAATCACTCATTTGATATATCTCAGTGGCTAGAACTCTATGGAGCTTGTCACCTTGTCCTTGCTAAACTACCCACTGTACATCTGGAGAAAGTATAATACTTCTATATGGAATGAAGAAGATGCGTTTCTTCTAAGGGTAAATTGATATACAATAGTAATGGCACGAATATTGATTCTGGCTGTCAAGAATTTTAGAAAAGTCTTAGTTTAGCTTATTTCTGCTGGTGATTATCTATGTTTCCTGAAAAGATAAATAAATTTAGTTCGAAGACTCTTAGATGAGAGCATATTCTGTGACCACATTTACCTAGCCAGAGTTTCAAAAAAAATAATTTGTTCAGTTACTGGAGGCAATCTGTTATGAGCTATTAGAGTATGTGACAATGTGTAATAGTGATATATGTATATAGCAATATTTGAGTATAAATAAATATGTGTGTGTAGACATTACATAAAATCATTCATGAGTGTCAGATAACATGAAAGGATTAATTATACATGTGACCAGAAACAAAGTACGTGATCCGAATGTTAAGTCTTCGTGATATGAAGTTAAGTGTGACAACAGACCTAGAAAGTATTTTTGAAGATACAGTACAGCTGTTTTTTACTGTTAATGCTACTAAAATTGTATTTATTTTTGACATTGCAATATTTAGCAGATAATGTGAAAGATAAGAGTAACATAAATACTCATACTACGTTTGTAAGGAAACATTTTTAACCTAATGATTTTCGGTATGGGTATTGCAAGATACTTAAATTGGATCAAATTGAAATATTTATGAGCAGGTGAAATTATTATTAGTAAATGAAATTCATGGACAGTAACTTAGATATAATATCAAATGTAAGGTTGATGTACCCAGTTTTATTTGTTGTTGTTTTTTTGCATGTGGTAGAATATTTTCACTCATACAGATATTTTTAAATATTTTCTTAACAATGTTTCAGTGCAAGGTGCAGTCATAAAGTATGAAAATTCAAGATGTGAGAGCACTGCTGGAGGTGGAAAATAACACCTGCATGGCGAAAGTTTGTAAACTGCACCAAGTTGGTAATAAACGTGTAACTGGAAGAAAGTCCCTAAGAATACAACGTAAGCATTGTTAATTTCTAATGGTCAAAAGCAAGGATTGGCGTCATCTAATCCAAGCCAACTCTAATGTGTATGAAACAGTTTTGCAGGCTTAACCCATTTCCTTTCCTATTGGACCCAGGCTCTATCCATCTGATAATAAGACAGTAGCAAGGCAAATGCAACTGTGTTAAATGGTAAGCTGGGTTCTCTTTGTCTGACAGTGACATAAGAGGACAGCATGGATATGGGCATTGATCAAATAGAAATCCAGTGAAGCCTGTGTAACTGCATTCACAGCCACTAGGGATATATTTTCTATGGTTGGGTGCACTGCATTTCAAAACCAAAGTAAACCTTTCTGTATCTTGGATCTTCTCGAAAGTTGACTAGTGGGCTCTGGGAAAGTTGAAGGGAAAAGGGTCCCCAGATGACGTCTGTTGCCTCTGTAGTCATAACCACGAGGCCCAATGTAACCATGATGAAGACAACCAACAGGGTGATTCATATGAGCCAATCCTTTTATGGACCATTAACAAGGAAATGCCAAACGTAATACACCAGATTGAAGCCATCCAGCAAATGAGGTCAAGGTGAGGGGCTTCTACCTCAATAACAATCGATGCACCATTAGCCATAGAGCCACGAAAACAACTTCAAAGGCAAATGTGAGCGGAACTTCCATTAAAACCACCAAAGAGGATAATAAACCAATCTATCTTAGAGAAGAGCCTCATTTACAAGCACCATTGTTAAAAGATGGCCGTTGAATATACTTAGGCTTGGGCCATCTATAACAGGAAGTAGGACAAACTATAGCGGAGAGCTACGTTGCTCGCAAAAGAGGTGTGCCACTTGCAGGTTGAAGTGGTAGACATGAAGAGGACCCTGGCCCAAGCTCATGATACCTTGAAGGCGTCAACGATAGCCACTCAGAAGAGTAGCACAACACTCAAGGATTTGCTGGTGTGATTAAAGTGAGAAGAGTGAATTAAGCCTCATGCTGGCTGCTGAGTAAGTATATATTTTAACATTTCTTCTTAATCTATAGGTTTGTTGCGTATATTCTGTATATGTCTTTGTATTTTTTTTCCTTTTAGTTTTATATTTCATTTACTGTGTTAAAATAGTTGTTCTATTTTAATATGAAGTTTCTAGAGGGTTTAGTTGTGTTACGTGTTTTAGTTTGACAATGGTTATTTCATCTGATGGTTTGATTTTCTTATTTTACTAGTTTCAAAATAAGTTCTTTTGTTAATTGTATTTTAAATATAGCTTTCTTCTGTTTGGTATTAGTGTGATATGTTTTTTTTGTTTTGTTTCTTGTTGTTGTTATTGTTATGATTTAATCACTCCACCCCAAAGATAATGTTTATTCTTTTATTTTGATGTGTTTATATTCTCTAATTATTAATGTTTTGAACAAAAAAAGAAAACTGAAAAATAGAGTTTGGGATTGCTCGAAAAACAAACACTTTATCAATTAAGCTGTATTGAATCATTAAGTCTATCATAGTTTGCTTTGTTAATTTGAGTACTGTATATCAAACACGAATACGAGAGCGATGGCAGAAGCGGTGATGGATTCACATTCACTCGTCAACGCAACAAATGAGTCTGAATTACAAAATGAGATTATTACTGTTGAAGGAGGAAACGAAGCATCGACTGACCAAAGAAGTGCTGAAAGTCAGCAGCCTGACGTGGATAAAAATGCATTGCTTGCTGTACTTCAGTTCTTAAAAAAATATAACCTTCAGGTTAGTAATACTAATAGTAGATTCAAATTCGATGACGAGGAACCCACTTTGAGACTAATAATGGCTGGAGACGGCTTAAATGGGTAATGAAGAAAAACTTTAATATAAGTTTAACATGACAGCAAATGTACAACGTTTCGACAAGGTTTTGTCTGATTATGACAAAAACTTGTCGAAAAGTTGTTTATTTTCT